ATTAGTAAATCAGACGTTACTAACTCAAATTAACAAATTTAGGAAATTTGTTAAGAACTCAGATCACTGAGGATGAGAGGAGAGAGTCTTTAACTTTTTCTGTTGCTTCCTTCCTCTTATATAAAAAAAGATTATTATGGCAACTGCACGAGAATTTGATTAGAAGGCAAGGCTGGCAGTAAGACTGACAGTAATCTAGATGGGAGACCCAGGGCCTTAGGTAAAGAGAGGGCAGGAAGGATGGATAATAAGGTGGTATTAGTAAATCAGACGTTACTAACTCAAATTAACAAATTTAGGAAATTTGTTAAGAACTCAGATCACTGAGGATGAGAGGAGAGAGTCTTTAACTTTTTCTGTTGCTTCCTTCCTCTTATATAAAAAAAGATTATTATGGCAACTGCACGAGAATTTGATTAGAAGGCAAGGCTGGCAGTAAGACTGACAGTAATCTAGATGGGAGACCCAGGGCCTTAGGTAAAGAGAGGGCAGGAAGGATGGATAATAAGGTGGTGGCCTCTTTTGGATTTGTCACCTGGATATTGGAGGGGAAGTGATAAAGGGAGACTCCCCTAAGGGTGACCTCTATTTTTTTTTGTTTGTTTGTTTGTTTGTTTTCCCCTTAAGCAGATGGGTGGAAAGTGGTACCAGTCATGAGACATGTACAAGACAGAAACAAGAACACCCTCTCTTTCTCTTCACACAACACACACACATACACACACACACACACACCACCCTTTATTTATAAAATAAAATTTGTCCAGGGGTTAATGAACTATTGAAGGAAACTTAGTGTGCCTTATAAACAGTAGGTTTCAATGTTTAAAGCAGCAATGTCCATGATAGCCAAACTATGTAAAGAGCCTAGATATCCATCCATCAACAGATGAATGGATAAAGAAGATGTTATATATATAGATATAGGTATAGATATAGATATAGATAACACACACACACACACACACAATGGAATACTATGCAGCCATCAAAACATGAAATCTTGCTATTTGCAACTATGTGGATGGAACTAGATGGTATTATGCTAAGCCAAATAAGTCAGTCAGATAAAGACAATTATCATATGATCCCTCTGATATGAGGAATTTGAGAAACAAGACAGAGGATCATAGGGGAAAGGAGAGAAAAATGAAAGAAGAAGAAACCAGAGAAGGACACAAACCATAAGAGACTCTGAATCTCAGGAAACAAACTAAGGGTTGCTGGAGGTGGGGGGTGGGAGGGATGGGGTGGCTGGGTGATGGACACTGGGGAGGGTATGTACTACGGTGAGTGCTGTGAATTGTTTAAGATTGATGAATCACAGACCTGTACCCATGAACCAATAATACATTATATGTTAATTAAAAAAAAAAAGGAACTCAGCATAGGGGAGGCACTTCAAAAACGTGATACTGTTAATATGTTTAATAATAGTGGTACTTGATGTTACTGAACCAAGTTTGGTAGAGTAGTTGCTCAGGAGACAATGGGGAAAGAATTAAATCACAATTCTTTGCAATGGAGGAAAAAAAAAAACAAAAAACAGTTGGTTCAGGTAATAAGCCAAGTGAAATTAATATTAGAGGTTTCACTTTGATGTGTGCCTCAATTTTCTTCTTAAAAGGGAAAAAGACATTTAATAATTATTTCTTAACAATAAGTCAGAAACATTAAACATTTGAAAATGTAACTCCACTGTAAGTCACAGAACGAAGAAAAAAGGAAAAGGAATCACATCCTTTCTCCCTACTCATATATTCTATGTGTTGCTTTTGGCAGATTTTAGTGGATATACTGAGTACTTTCAGAGAGCCAATGGTAATGATTAAAACCACATATCTAAATATTTTTTCTATACTATTATTCCAGCTTCAAATGATTAATTTAATTATAAATGGGTCAAAATGACTATATTATTTTATTTGACTTTTTGGATATAGTCCATTCCTGCCTCCATATGCTAATCTTCCGTATATCCACCACAGGTAATCATGGTTATTAATGGCCTGTTTCTCCTTCCATTAAAAAAAAAAAAAAAAGGCATATGCAAGTCATATACACTTTATTTTTTAATTTTTTTAAAATTTTTTATTTTATTTTTTCAGTGTTCCAAGATTCATTGTTTATGCACCACATGCAGTGCTCTATGTAATACATGCCCTCCTTTATACCCATCACCAGGCTCACTCAACCCACCACCCCCTCCCCTCCAAAACCCTCAGTTTGTTTCTCAGAGTCCACAGTCTCTCATGGTTTTTCTCTCCCTCTGATTTCCCCCAACTCACTTCTCTCCTTCTCCCAGTGTCCTCCGTTTTATTAGTTATGCTCCACAAGTAAGTGAAACCATATGATAATTGACTTTCTCTGCTTGACTTATTTCACTCAGCATAATCTCTTCCAGTCCCATCCATGCTGATACAAAAGTTGGGTATTCACCTTTTCTAATGAGTAAGAACCGGGTTGGGGGCTCATTGGCCTGTGAAGGGACCAAAAGGGAACCTCTGTCCTCGGGTGAGCTTTCTCTGGCTGCCTCATGGAGCTTTGTGACCCTTGCAGGACCCTGCAGCCTACGCACATGACATCGTCCCCCTGCCCTCCCCACCAGTGACCCCATTTTGCTACACATTTCGGGCAGCCCCACATAGCTTCCAGTAACCAGGCAGATGTGGGATCCCGTTTTTTGAGCAATAGCTGAGGCCAACTGGGCCTCAATCCCAGTTAATGATAAGGGAGAGAAAGCCTGCTGCAGGCTTTGGGGGGAGTTTCCTTCATTCTTGCCTTCCCCTTTTCTGGTCTGGCTGGCAGGAGTGTCAGCTTTGGGAAGAATCTTCATCCTGTTGATGTCATTGAACTTCTGACTACTCTGTGCCTGCCCCCCAACCATTCCTGGGCTTCCAGCAACATTAGATTAAAGACAGCCTTTTTGTGGAAGCTGAAATTTAAAAAAAAAAAAAAAAAAAAAAAGGCATGGAGGCATAATCCTCCATTGTATAAATGGACCACATCTTCTTTATCCATTCGTCTGTTGAAGGGCATCTTGGCCCTTTCCACAGTCTGGCGACTGTGGCCATTGCTGCTATGATCATTGGGGTACAGATGGCCCTTCTTTTCACTACATCTGTATCTTTGGGGTAAATACCCACTAG